AGAGACAGTGATGACTAGCTTTAAAATTGACCCCATATATATATATATATATAAAATTCTCATAAATATCAAGAATTTTGGTCAGTAGTAGTTTTAGTCTCGGCATGTTGTATTGAGATGAACTATTGTTTACGCTCTTTATTTGGACATTAAATATCAGACAAAGAATATCGTTCAGCAGGTTTATCTACTAATAGACATTTTAATGATGAATAAATAGGTACAGGTCAGAATAGACCAGATATTAACCTGTTTTTAAGATTTATGACATATTTTCATCCAGGTGACATCTTTAAATATATCCAGTAAATGATTCAAAAAAACTTATAATTTCTCAGGAATTATTAAAACAAATTGTCATAAAATTTGTCCTAGCTGCATATTTCACTTCAGAAATTCCATTGAGACTTAAAACTGTTTTCTTTGTGGACGTCAGTAGAAGAGCAAATTTACGAATAGAGATCTTGACTGGCAAATACATCCAAGCTAATTGCCTAGATGCCTAACTATAGGTATTAGCTTTTATGGGTACAATTTGGAATCAGATATAAGCTTAATTTTAACTATAGCTAAGAGGTAAAGGTGGCCGATTTATGATCCCTTCTCCTGTCAAATATTGTGATAAGGTTAGAATAATATTTTGACAACAGGTGTACTAAATATGACTCTATTGATGAAGATCTTCAATTTCAAATCATCGTATACGTGACTAAGTTTTTGTTACTTAAAGATTTTGAGTTCACTAATTTGAATTGAATGTATTTAAATTGTATTCTATATCGCACTGTCCTAGAGAATGAAACTCAAATATTACAGATTGGGATGTTTAAAGTTCAGATACGATTGACATAATATATGAGTTTAAATAACAGGCCTTGTTTTTGAAGGGAAGCAGTTCCTATTGAGTAGTATTATTGTCATAGTGATATTACAAGAACATGGAAAATAGTGATTATAGATGACTGTTGTAATAATAACAATATTTATAAATTTCAGGAGGAATATATGACACTGATTGCCAGACTTATTATGTACTTAAGAGAACATTCAAAATCAGGTAGCTATAACATTTTCATTTCCATATCTCACAATAAACTGGTGTGTTTAGGTTTGGGGTGTATAGGCCATATGTTTACCTACATCCATTGGGTATATATTTTAAGTATTAAAAGTACAGAAAATTGTTATGAATCTTTGTAACAATGCAAGTTTTAAACAAGTGGATATTGTGACATTGTCATCAAATTATGGAACTGGCTCATAGTCAACAAGAGCGACTTTCATTCTCAATCGAGTCCTTGTAGTTCTAATTCCTGTATTCTTTACCTGTACATAGGTTACAAATTATAATCTATTGAGACTATTGTTTTGAATGATTTGAAACATTCCTTGTGATTATCCGAGGATAGTATTTTGATTCCCATGAATCCCATGAATTAGTTGAAAATTTTCGGTCAAAAGTACATCAATTGTTTATAACCTTTTTCAGAGAAATCCCCATCTGAGTCTTCATCACAATAATGACAAAAAAATACGCAAGAAAATAACTGCATTTCAATATTTATCTAAATCTCTAACATTAATGGATGCTGAAATTCATTCTTGTTTTTTTTCATGATTTTTATTTTGAATTGTGATATCTTTCTTTAAGTTTCATTTTTTACTAAAAAAACATTTTACTCTACTTTATTTATTTTCTATCTTTTTTGCATTTTGTTCGTATTATTAGTAGATATAAATTAATTGTCATATATACAAATTATTGCCATACACAAGAATTCATTGCCATAAATACAGATTATTGCCATACACAAGAATTCATTGCCAAACAGGCAAATTATTGTGATGGCGTTTCATTTTTAGATATAAATTGATATTACTTAGATACAAATTTACTGCAATAATATGCAAAATTAATGTGCAAATTGCCATATTTCATGCGTTTATATTTTATTTCATCAATATTAAAGATATCAATTGATTGTCATAGATGTATATCGTGAAATGGTTACTTGAAATTTATTGGGATATTTCAGGAAAACGAAAATACAGATATTAATTTGGCCTCCCTTCCAACCTCTCTTTCCAAAAATCATTTGAGTGCAGTGTTACATAGTTTTATCGAAAAGTAAAAGACGAAAGAATATTTTTAAAGAATTCTTTGTCTATGTAAAGAGTGAAAATGTTTTGTTTTGAGAATTGTTTGAAAGACCAAATCCATCATAAAAAAAAATACATCTATGTATAGGCAACCTAAAAACCATACCAATACTATGCATGGGAAGAGCCTAATAAAAACTAGGTCTTACTTTAAACCATAGCATGATTCGTTATTTCAATTTTGTGCATGAAACCATGACTAAAGAAAGTAAGTCACAGAAAACAGTGACTGATTAGTAACCAAAACATTATAACTTTTTAAATCTTAAAATCAACTTCTGTTGGAAGAAGTTAATAAAAACCTTAATCACAGCTTTATTTTGGTCTTGGCATGATCTTGTTATATCCTACTAATGTAGTTGTGTTGTTGTTGCATGGTGTGATGCTTGTTGACCTTTGACCCATATTAACCTTTCAGCATCCAGTTTTGATAATGTACAAATATCTGAAGCTCGCAGACAGGAAGTTGCTGAGCGTGTTGAAGAAGTCACAAGACGGGGTTCAATGGACGTCCAAGATTAATTTAGGTATGTTTTAAATTGTTTGCTGTAAAGTTAAAGAGATATATCCTCTGGATAAGCGTATTGTTTTTTTTGATGAGATTACAATAACCCAACTTTTATAAAGTTTACTTGTTGGCAAATTATGCTAAATGATATGGTTTCAGTTTTTGAAAGAAAAAGTCTTTGGCTTATTATTTAGCTTTGTGCCTACTTTTTGGACAGATGGAGCGATATTTACTTGCAACATGGAAATTATTCTTGTCATTATCATTAGGCCTACGTTATGTTATCATTTCTTCTGTCTAGAATTATGATGTAACATTTTTACACCTTTGAAAAGTACTTTTAATTGTTAATCATTTTCATCTCCCATATTCCCGATAATATATTCCTATTTTATTCCATTTTTCTTCTAATTTGAGGTTTTGTATTTTTCAGTTGGATGTAAATCATGTCTCATACCTACAATGTTACCGAATACGATTATACAATCATCAACGCCATCTAGTAGCCAACATATTTATTACACAGACAATATTTTGTGCTTAAAAAACATATAATGTGAAAAGCAAGCCGGTGTGGCTTCTTAAAATTTATTATGCAAATTTCTTTTGAAGAGTGCCTTTGTTAAATTCAAGGAACTTGTAGATTGACATAAAATTGTGGATTCTGGAAATATTGGGGATTGTTAAATAATATCATAATAATGTGAAATTACAATGTACATATGCTTATACATTCAGGGTATTATTACTCAAACATTTTATAATACATATATTCTACTCTCAATTTAGTTTCCTTCAAATCTTTTCTTGTAGAAAAGAAAGCAAAATTTTCCAATATGGCTATATTGCTATGTTGATTTTGAAGCTTTCAAGGGTTTTATTTGTATCAAATACTTCCCCATGTTTTAGTTTAGCTAAATTCTTTATATTTTAAGGCATTGCACAAATAAATAACATCTTTTAACTTATTTATTGAATGTTTCTTATATATATTTAAACTTTTATATTTTGCTCAAAATCAATTTACAATGACCAATTAGAAATCGAAATTTTGAAATATTGCATGTAGATCTGTTTAAATTTTAAGTATTTCTTTTTTTCAATGGCAACAAATTGCATCAATGCAATAGAAAAGTTTGAATCTCAAATGCCAAAAATTTCTTCAGTGTCATCATAGCAAGATTGAATTTCCCAGCAACATTGAATTTAATGCTGATTATCTTTGACTAAAAACTGGTATGAGTGATCTTTGTTATTGTTTATCTCTCTTTAGGGTAGTTGTTGTTTTTGTCTTTTGTTTTGTAGTTTCTCTACTTCTTAATCTATCCTACTAGAGTCTATCCTATTGTTTGTTAATATTTCTAAATAAATAATATTATCATCTACTGTCTCTTTTTTTTTGACAAATCCCCAAAACATCAAAGCTATTTAACTTGTAAACATATATGCATTACAACTATGACTTGAATAAATTTCCTCAATTGTAAAAGGTTACTTAAGATAAAACAAATGCAGTAGTGTATGTATGATCCATGCTCCTCAAGGCTGTAAATTTGTCTTCGGCATCAGACATCCCTGAATGACACCTTATTTTTTGCCCCCTCTATATTTCTAGAAATGTCCCTGAGCAAATGATTTGGTGGGATTTTGACAGACAGAAGAATATCAGTATGTAAAAGAGCACAAGTATTTTTGTGACTTACATAGGGATTGGGCCATGACATTCAGATTGTTTCAATTAACGAAAAAGAACCATATGAGGCAATTTAGCAATAGAAAATTCCTGTTTGGTTTATTTCATTTTCTACTGAATTATCACACACAAAACAAACAAATAAAAAAACAACTTCCAAACTTTCATTTGGATACAAAATTATCAACATATTGAAAAAATGCCAGTGATTCAATATGAGCATCTTCTTGATTCTGTTTATTTGTAAATGTAAAAACAAAATGAATTTATAGTGCATACTTTGCACTCCAGTTAAATTTTAACAATGGTTTTTAATGAAGAAAATTCCAAATTAAATAGAATTAAAAAATAAGTTTATTACAAACAGTAACTCTGTAATTATTGGTGTAATATAAATCATCTATTTTCTCTAAATTAATCTGACCATTAACAAACAAATGTGGAAATTTCTAATTATTATAAGCCTAAATTTCTAATCATTTCATTTCAACAATTATTTCAAAGATCTCAGTAAACAGCCCATTTTCAATTGGGTAGAATAAATGGAAATTAAAACTATATAAGTCATACTTAAATTGTGTTCAGTTATGTCATTATGCCATCTCAAGACACCATAATACATGCTCAAGGTTCACAACTCTAAGACATATCCCATATCTCAGCAGCCAAACAATCATCATTCTCCAGGAATTCATCAGTAATATCATCAAAATGCCCATCATAATCATTATCATCTTCCTGCCAGGCATTCTCTTCAAATCCTGCTGCCATCATAACTATCATCAGATCAGAAAAACAATCGTATTAAATGAGTGGTGAGCTCTGAATAAAGAACTAGCAGTGATGGGGCCAGCAGATATAGCTAATAAGCATTATACACATGCAAACAAATTATAGTTCCATGCCAAATTTTGAGCTTTTTTGCACCAACCCTTTAAGACAAATGTATCAGTCCAAAATTATAGTTATATCTACTTTTAGTAAGTATATACAAAAACAAGCTTACCCGTAGATGAAGGTTTACCAAACCATGGAGTATCTTCTTTTAAATCAACATCTTCTTCCTCATAAGGATCTGAAAAAATATCCAATTGCAAAATTCACCTAAAACATACATAGTTGTCATGTACAACTTATCCTACATATCTCTGGCAAAGGGATGGGGCCTCTTAGTGAACCCTTATTCAAAATTCCCCCATTTATGTCTTAGAATTAAGAATAACATACCTGGTAATAACAAATCTTTATCAGGTCGAAGATAGTAACTGGAATAGTCATGACTATCAACTAGTATAGTTGATGGTATATCTACTAAATCATCTGATACTACACTTGTTCCTGAAAATATAAACAAACCCATTCAATTTACAGATACCTGTTTTAAGTACTTTGGGTACCATATTATATGGTACTTAAATCAAACATCATCAATAAAGAACACTTTTATCAAACTATGGTCCAAATCAGTTTCATATATGCCAATTTGTCAATTCACTGCTTATTCAATGACGCAATTACAGTGGTGTAACCAATATTCATTCATACAATGATTCGTGTTTGATCTAAAAATAAGTCCAGAAAACATGTTGTATGGATACCCAGTGGTATAATTAACTTCTCTTCTTATTTATCTTTAATAATATTTCATAATAACTAATAACAATTCCTTCAAAGAACAATGATTTAAAAAGAGGAAATGGGGCTGACAAAATAAGATAAGTAAAATGTAAGAGTAATTTATTGCTAAAATTCACTGAAATAACATAAGGATATGGCCCATATTGTGTTCCATAGAATTTTTCTGCTGACATGGAATCTGCTACTTTGTTCACTGGAATATATTCTAGCAAACAACACTTGGAATTCTGATTAAAGATTGGGATTATAAGGAAATTTTGCCTATAAAAAATTTTGACATTTGGTAATAACTGAAATCTGCCATTTTGTATATGTTAAAAATAGATAAATGGGGAGGGTCACCCGAGGTCAGACATTTAAATTATTTATCATTACTGGAGATGCATGATATCAGAAATAGCACAAAATTAGGTTACTTGACTGTACACATTTCCATATTATTTTGAGAAAAGTCTAGTCATTGAAAACCGTTTTTACCAACTCATATGTGACAATCATGGAACTATGTGCATTAAATATCCCAAAGTGACAAAATACTTTATTTCTGTGACGAAACTACTTAGTGTTTGGATCCTTTTAAGATGGCTTTAATTTACTCACTAGTAATGTATGAAGTAAAATGTGAATATAAATGTCTTACCACCAATATTTAATTGTAGCAGAAGATGACTCTGATCTTGTCTAAGGGCAATAACTCTATAGATTAGCTTATTACTAATATTCAAACAACCAGACATATCCACTAATTCCAGACTAGGACAATTGAAAACTATTTCTTCTATTCCTACAAAGTTCAATTAATAAAAGGAATTTCGAAAGTACTTTAAGGTTCTATAATTTCTGACACAGATCAGAGATTGAATGTTAGTATTGTTCTGGATTTTCAGAAAAGTGGTGAGTAATAAACAGTAACAGATGAATTAATAGAATGATTTACACTGTATATGAGATATGATGAAGCTCTGAAGGCTTTGTATAGCCATTGACAAAATGGTTTAGAATTAGCTCTAGCAAGGTCTAGCACTTTCTGAGAGATTATTACCTCTACTGCAACTACGTTTGTTAACTCTATGTATTCCTGTTAGGACCCAGAGTTAATGACAACACTATAACTGTACCTGAATCTGTGATACCAGAACAAGCCTTTATTTTCAGTTGTTTTAATTTACCAGTTGTAGATATCTGACTTAAACATACATCTGTAATCTATTGAAAACATATCTTGATCAATCGCAAGCTGATAAAATTGTTTTTTTAATTTATGAAACGATTTTCCGTGGCCTTAAGAACTGTTTGTCAGGGTGACTGATATTTAATCCTTTGGAATGTCCAAACATGCTTCCGTTTGTCAGTAATGCTAGCCAAGGGGCAAAATTTCCCTCATGGTACATTGTATAGCATCTTCAAAACTAAAAATGAAAATTCAGCCCATGGAGAAAAGGATACTGGTTATACATATAATATGACCAGGTAAAAGTGAAGCAGCATCTATTGTTGTTCAAAATAACTTACCTGATGTAAATAACTGATGTTTAAAATTTCTAGATTTTCTAATAGAGATAGACATTGTACACCTTCATCTGTTAGACATCTATGACAACCACTTACATCTAAATTTCTACACATAAGGCAATGAATAAAATAAAATATCATAAGAATTATCACAAAATTACAAAATTATCAATGCTAATTGAATAAAAATGGCTGTTTATTTCATTGATTTTCTGCATGTAACTCGAATCAATAAGCAATACACAATGAGGGAAATTTTCACCGAACACCTTAAATCACACGTTCTCAATATAATAAAAACATGATAAGAAAAAAAAACCAGTAACATACTTGAGTTTGCAGCATCCAGATGAAATGGCAATTAATGCCTCATTTGTTATACAACAGTTTTGACTTAGATTTAACTCTTCCTATAAAAAGATAAAAGATAGTGGACCACAGCCATATACGCCCACCACGGCATGCGGATGGTAAAAACGAAACATCCATTTTAAGTTTCATCAAAATCGGTTGAAAACTAAGATAGCATATTCAAGATTTTGGGGCAAGGGCAATAACTCTGCTTCTAACGGTCGAAAATTCGATCTTGATCATCGTTTTATGAATATGTATACACATACCGAATTTCATTTGATTCCATCAAAAAATCTAGTTTTTAGAGCGTTTACAAGCAAATGTTGACGGACCGACAGGGGTGCCGACAATATACGTCCACATAGAGAGATGAGGGCGTATAAAAAGCTACAGTATGAAATAGAATTTTATTGATTAAAGCATAGGTATTATAAACAATTTCACCAAGTTTGGTCAATCCTTCAAAAACTGTGCCTTCTAGAGTGTTTACAAGCTAAAAGTAAATCGCGTTTCGAGGAATTTTCCATGGGTAATAACTCATTCACACAAAAATTTATTATTTGCTTTCATATTTTACATCATCTAAATAATAAATTTTGTAGACTTACCAATGACTTTAGATCTTGCAGTTGACACCATGTTGTTTCTGCCACTGAAACATAAAACTAAAAGTTTCCAAAACTATTTTAACCAGTAGGCAGCAGAATAAACAATTTCTGCTTTACTTCTTCAATTTCTGTTTTACTTCTGCATAGTATTCAGAGTTGTATTATATTTTATTTCATCTGTCATTTACTGTGTTTCAGTTCTCTTCTTTGATAAGGTATTTGAATAACATGACAAACATTCCTTTGCTCCAACTAATCTATACCTGACAACCAACAGACTCAGTATCTAACACTTACCATTATGTAATGAGCCACCACAATGTAATATTCTTAAATTTCTAAAACCCTAAATTAAAATATATACAGAATTATAAAATGCAAACTTTACAGATGTAGATATACTAAATTTTCAGATACTTTCAGGAGTTACAGTCCATGATCTAAGAAAATATTGAGAGTACTGTGATTTTTTAGTCCAAATATGACTGAACTCATTTTAAAGAATTTCTCAGATCGTAGTTTATAAGTAGCATCATATGAAGTGAGTTCATAATAGCATAATTACTACCATTATCACAACATATTGCTTATTAACTACCTTTGATATTATATTGTATTCAATTAACATGAAATATAAATATTGTCAACCGTGTCTTGTTTTTGAGACACTGAAAGCGAGGTTCAAAACGCAGATTATGTCATCTATTGAAGAGATTAATAAAAAGCCTATTTGACGTCACGAAACACCTCATAAACAGATAGAAAATGAGCTTAGAACTACTCTTTCTCAGAAAGGTTTTGACATTATCTTATTCCTACCTGAGTTATAGTATTAATGGCATGACCAGTTAAAGAGGCACAGTCAGTTATGTGTAATTCTTCAATAAGTGGGCATCTTTCTTTAATCTTCTCTATACCAACATCTCCTAACTTATAAAATAAAGTCACTTATTAATTAAACATTTAAAGTATGAGACTCTCTAAAAGGAATGTTGTGTTCACAAATCCGCAGAATGACATTGGGTATTCCAAAGCATACACTTTGTCTTGTAAGCGACAAACATTACAATTCTTGTTATAGAGCCTTTGTAAAAAAAAATCGTTCATTAATATGACATACTGTTGTAGTTGATTTTCTCCTTAATCTTTATTACAATAACCACTTAATACATTGAGAATTTACCTACTTTTTTGCACTCTGATAAAACCAAGGTCTTTACTTTAGAATCTAACATATGGAAGCACTGAAATAATAGAAAAAATGATGTTCCTCATGCAATTCATGTTTTCAATTATCATCATTAATGTATTAACAGGATACAGCTCCCTTAGCATTTGCTTATCGTGATGATACAATTCAGGTGTAACTACTCCATACCTCTTTCAGAATGATAAAAAAAACTTGTCTGCAATGTACTGTTGTGGTTGCTTGTTATACTTAAAAAGAACTTCAAACATCACAATTCTTAATATAAATTAATACTGGTAAATATCTTAATATCAGTGATGTGATTTAATTAATATACCTGTCCTGTTAATTTGATATTGCCTTTAATATCAATATGTTGTAATTCTCTATTACTGTGAAATAACCACCAAAACCTATATCAAAAAAGATAAAAACTTAAAAATAAAAAAAACTTGAAAATATTTCTTTAAGAAATGCAATCAATTGAATATTGATCTACAACTTTAATAAAAAAAAAAACTAAATGATATGCCTCTTACCATTCTGAATAGATAGAAAGTGTATAACTGGAAGTAATAGTGAATAACCAACATTCAAGCTCCTTAAAATCTATTAAACTTACCCTTTTTCACCCAAATATGTACATCTTTGTAATCTCACCCACTGAAATAAAACAAATGCAATAAATGCAATCTTTAAAATATATAACTGTTACATTACACACATTGCTTGAGTGAAATTTCAAAATTTATTGTTAAAATTACATGTAGTGTATAAATATCTAATGTTAACCTATAGTCACCTACCTCTATTTAATGATTATCTACTGATAAATCACATACCTCTAGTGTATAAATATCTACTGTTAAATCACATACCTCTAGTGTATGAATATCTACTGTTAAATCACATACCTCTAGTGTATAAATATCTACTGTTAAATCACATACCTCTAGTGAATGAATAATTACTGTTAAATCACATGCCTCTAGTGTATGAATATCTACTGTTAAATCACATACCTCTAGTGTATGAATAATCTACTGTTAAATCACATACCTCTAGTGTATGAATATCTACTGTTAAATCACATACCTCTAGTGTATGAATAATTACTGTTAAATCACATACCTCTAGTGTATGAATAATCTACTGTTAAATCACATACCTCTAGTGTATGAATAATTACTGTTAAATCACATACCTCTAGTGTATGAATATCTACTGTTAAATCACATACCTCTAGTGTATGAATAATTACTGTTAAATCACATACCTCTAGTGTATGAATAATTACTGTTAAATCACATACCTCTAGTGTATAAATATCTACTGTTAAATCACATACCTCTAGTGTATGAATATCTACTGTTAAATCACATACCTCTAGTGTATAAATATCTACTGTTAAATCACATACCTCTAGTGAATGAATAATTACTGTTACAGCACATACCTCTAGTGTATAAATATCTACTGTTAAATCACATACCTCTAGTGTATGAATATCTACTGTTAAATCACATACCTCTAGTGTATAAATATCTACTGTTAAATCACATACCTCTAGTGTATAAATATCTACTGTTAAATCACATACCTCTAGTGAATGAATAATTACTGTTAAATCACATATCTCTAGTTTATAAATATCTACTGTTAAATCACATACCTCTAGTGTATGAATATCTACTGTTAAATCACATACCTCTAGTGTATGAATAATTACTGTTGAATCACATACCTCTAGCGTATAAATATCTACTGTTAAATCCCATACCTCTAGTGTATGAATATCTACTGTTAAATCACATACCTCTAGTGTATGAATAATTACTATTAAATCACATACCTCTAGTGTATAAATATCTACTGTTAAATCCCATACCTCTAGTGTATGAATATCTACTGTTAAATCACATACCTCTAGTGTATGAATAATTACTATTAAATCACATACCTCTAGTGTATAAATATCTACTGTTAAATCACATACCTCTAGTTAAAAATATCTACTGTTAAATCACATACCTCTAGTGTATAAATATCTACTGTTAAATCCCATACCTCTAGTGTATGAATAATTACCGTTAAATCACATACCTCTAGTGTATGAATATCTACTGTTAAATCACATACCTCTAGTGTATGAATAATTACTGTTAAATCACATACCTCTAGTGTATAAATATCTACTGTTAAATCACATACCTCTAGTGTATGAATAATTACTGTTAAATCACATACCTCTAGTGTATGAATAATTACTGTTAAATCACATACCTCTAGTGTATAAATATCTACTGTTAAATCACATACCTCTAGTGTATGAATATCTACTGTTAAATCACGTAATGATATATTTGTCACATCAACTCCAGATAAATCTAACTTTCTTAATCCACAACAATATTTGTCTAAAATGTTGAAAAGATACAAAATTATGACTGATAGACCCTGAATTGTTATAATGTTTTATTTTTGGAATAATGGTATGTAGAGAAGCAAGTCTGAATTATTTTATATTGGTGACAGACATGTCATATACATTTGTATAAAACCATGTAGGAACAATTCCGATATGAGATTCAAAAGCTAAATAGACATTAAATGAAACTTGACTTCTCCCCACACTTCATTCACCTATCCATTTACAATGGCCTTTAATACCATTTTCATTGGTTACTTCAGTTTTTTTTTTTATTAATCCAATACTTACTTACTTATAATTTGCATAGAATAATCAGTAAGTAATCTAGGTGAAGCTGAAATATCCAAAGATCTTAACGAAGGTCCACAACGTTTTAATAAGAAATTTAATGTTCTATCTGTTAAACCTACAAAAAAAACCTTGCATGAAATTAAGCATATTCCAGAACCTTACTTCTCATATTAAAAGGCAATCTTGAAATTATTGGAAGTTAATTTTTCAATTTGTATATAATATATAATTCGAAAATTTAAAAACTCTGTGGACATAGAAAAAGTCATTGTTAAAAGGTTGGTCAATTCAAAGATATTTTTTACCTTTTGGTACAATTTGCCCTTACTATAAGATGCAAGCTTAATCTACAAGTTGATCACACTTACTCTCAAATCTTCTGAAGGTATGGTAAAAATCTAATGATCTTTGTCGTTTCCACAACCTTAAAGCAGCATTTCTCCATCTACTACAGACTGAAATACATAGAATTCTATTAGATAGAGTTAAGGGTGGTTAAAAAAGTTTCTATTCTAAAGAAGGCACTAGCACAGACTAAAACAGTGTTCACTAATTTTTAGGTTAGTATGCTAGAATGAAAATTTGTTGTAATTCTAACATGGACCTCATTCTGTTCACATTGTGCTATGAATTTTGGTATCATATACTTATAAAACTACATACAACAATATGAGGTTCATTAGCAGTATGGGGCTAAAACGAATCATTAAAGTAATAAGCTAATTAAACAACATTAACAGTAAGCAAGTTCTCAAACTTTAATCAAACTTGTACCCATTAGAGAAGATGTATGAAGCTTCATCAGGCATTTCTAACTTTGTACTATAATCAAATTTATCAACAGATAGAAAAAAACATTTTTTAACCTAAATGAAGTTAATTTGGTCTCCTCTATTCTACTTTGGCTTCTGAATTTCAATTTTCTCCAAACAGTGAAAACAGCCTCTTACCTCTCTCTATCCTAACTCGATCTCGTAATAGTAAGAAGCTGAATGTTTTTTCCCATACTTCATCGGGTAAATCTACAGTATCAGCTTCATCATCTCTATCTTTTACTTCATTCTTTTTATCTGGTGAATTGTTATTTTCATTCTAAAATTTATAAACTGATTGAAAAACATCTTTCCAGCTGTCAAAAAGAGTATTTGTTGAGCTAGTCTATATGTTACACCAAACCTTGTTCATGCAAACTCATAGTTTGTTACAGCTGCACAAAAATCAAATCATTTGACTGACTTGTTTTAAATATATATCAATACCAATGTTCTACTGTAGGTATTAAAACTTATTTTTTCTATAAATGTAATTAATTATGTAACTGAGTAGTTGTAAAAAACCATCTTTTACAATAGTTCAATTCTAGTTAGCTTTGGTACCTGAATATCAATCATCAATCAGATCTTGTAACTGAGTAGTTTTAAAAGGAATCTTTTTAGTTTTTGGCATGGTTAACTATAGAGTGATCTCTGTATCAGGTTTCTTTTACCAGTACTATTTGGATTGTATTTTGAATATATTCAATATTCACGATTTTTGAATGTGTGTTCTTATTTACAAAACAAACTGTTGAAAATAAGATGAAACATAACTTACATTTCCATTATTAGCTTCATATCTTCTAGTACCAACTCGTTTAGATTGTTCAGCTTTATTTACACGTAATAACCTTGAGTAATAATATATCACACAAACATTAAGTGAAGATGTTAATACTTTATTTATGGTCAAATATGCTTGAATAAAGCACCATTAAAATTAGTTAATATTATTATCATTTCTCAACATCATATGCCTAATTATAATGGCATGTTACATGATACAGATCCCCTAAATGATCCGAAAACCATTCATCCCATACATACCTCCCTCCTAATATCAACCTTTCATCTGAAGCCTGTAAAACTTCTTCTGCCTCTTCCCTGGTTGAAAACGTTACAAAGGCTATTCTGAAATAACGGATTGATGTTTCAAATTTAAACATAATTATATAAACTTTTTGTTAACACTTATTCTCGATTAGATATTTAAAAATTGGAATGCTTTCCAGTTAAATCTTAAATGAAAAAAATCTGACAAATATAGCAACATAATATTATATTTGAGCTTTTCCTACTCAATACATCAATATTAATTTCAATACCAGTAATTGATTCTTACCCTCTCGGTAGTTTCGTGTAATGATCTCTTGGCATAAAGCATTTCTTTATTTTACCAAATTTTTCCAGGAATGTCTGCAGCTCCTTGGTAGTTGTCTTTTAAGATAAAATGGCATCAACTCATATTTTTACAATAAAATAATTTTAAATTCAAAATCTTTATTAGGACAACTGTCAACATCAGACATAAGATCAAAGTTATCAAAATCACTGAAGAAATTATCACCCCAGTAAAATGCTAAAAATACTGAAAACCCTTGCATAAAAGAAAGCAACTTAAACTGGATCGCCTGAAAATGTTATTGTAATTTGAATATTCTATTAGCTATGGGCACTCTCTGAAAGGGATATCCAATTGACTTAGTTATTGTAAATTTGACAATAAACACACTATCCTACCCTGTATCCAATGTTTCCTACAAATATTATTCTGTAGTTTGGCCTACCACATATTTGACTTGATTCTGGATCCATTACCTTAGATCACATTCTTGATTTATAATGTAGGCTACTATTTAACTGAAAAATCAAACATACAGTAAGAATAATTAGATGAAAAAAAAAAACAATATTAGCCATGCCCAGTAATGTTTAGAAGCTTATAGGCCTATTCAAATTCACTTTATAGTTTGCACACAATAGATCTATAATGACCTTATGATGGTTGCAAAGTAATTCTAAGACTATCAGTTTTGTTTTGTTGATAGTTGCACTTGTCAATATTAGAACTATTTCGATCTTCTATATTGCCAATATCACAGAGAAACTGGGTTGGACCTGATTTGTCGGGCTAGTCAAGAGTACGAAAATAGTGACTGAATTAGTGAATAGGCTACAGTCTGAGTTAGAGTAGGACTAAGTAGGAGTAACTGAGTAAATGAAATTTCTAGACTAATAAAGATATGGGGCCAGGGTGGCGAATAACTGTTTGCCACCCGGGTGGCGAATATCCTCGGCCAAAGATATGAAAGGCTTATTTGGTGAAATTTAAGGAAATGGCAATAAGATCTTGTTGAAAAATCGTACATAAAGTTTATAGTGTCACAAATTAATTAGATAAATATTTCAAATACTAGAGACATACAATACTAGCTTAGTCGACAGACATGAATGTTTTTGTTTACAGTCGCCTGTAATTAGAGTTATGTCCCTTGATAAAAAAAATTGAGCTAGGTACAGTACAACTTGTCCAATAAGACCACTTTCTTTACCTTCGTGTGTAGCATAAGTAACTTAATATAAGGTTAAAGTCTTGAAATGCTGCAGCACAGTGAAAAACCAATGCTTTTTTACAAACATTCATTCAATTTCCAACGACAGGAAATGTGAAATTAACCTTGTAAATCATAAATTCTATTCAGTCAGGCTATATTTTCCGACTTATTGTGGGCAAGGGGTAATGCAATCGATAAAGGATCCTAAAAGAGGTAAAAGAAAGAAAAAGTTTGAATCAACTGGACTAAACCTGATTGGAAAGAGGACCAGTACAAGGCAAGATAACGCCTCAACTCAGGGATAGCAGTTATTTGCTTCCGCAATTAATAACCTTGATATAAAAAAAAAATACAACTTTCACTTAAGGGTTTTATTAATGTTATATCGACTTTTTTTTTACATACTTTTGAAAACAAAACAACTATCAACAAAAGCTATCCCGATAACTTCAGTAATAATCTTCAAATGGCATGAAACCATGTCGGTTATGTTGATGTGTTATGCCATACACTTCCCTTTTCTGTAAAGGTCCAAATACGGAATAAACGGGCCGCCTGTAGGTGGATGTCATATAGTTTGAAAAGGGGTATAGTTTTTCATCCCGATCACTCAGACGATAAATAGCATTTGCTCTTTTCACTTCTGTGGCTGGACGACCGTTACGCATATATTTATTATCATCTACTGGCCAGTCTTTGCCCTCCCGTGACCACGTTGGTGTAGCAGAAGTACCAATATTATACATCATTCGCCTAGAGCACGGCTCCCTGGCATCAAGACGTTTTGGTAACTCTTCCAATCGACGTTTATGATATCCTATTTTACTATAATCACTCCATTTATCAGTCCAATTCTGAAAGAAAAAAAACAAATATTGAGCATCTTTTTTAAAATATCGTTTGTTTCTGTCTTTAGACCTAATTGTCAAATATTATTAGATTTCGGAGACGAGGATGGCAGGCGGCTATTCTTATTTAAAGTTGGAACCAAGGCAATCCAAGTTGAAAGTAGGCAAAGAGGGGTTTGGTTGGATTTGAAATAAGTGAGAGAAAAAAAAACATTTATAAACTTCGTTACAATAGTAAGGCACTGGGCTAATTTGTCTCATTCATTATGGCATTGGAATCTCAGAAATTGATTGATGTAACAAACATTGAAAAGATCGTATGAGAGTTTGAGAGAGTGATTAAAATACTATGGAAAGATATATTGAGCACAAACCTGCCAAGAATCGGGTCCGGTTTTATATGTAAATTTCTCTGGGGATTCTCTTCTACAAAAAAGAAGGTAAAAACGCTTTAAAGGTGCTCCCAACAGAACGATACATTGGTTGATAAACTGAATATTTTAAACTAAAGGAGGTCAATTTGAAATTTTTGTGGGGTTATGAGGCGCTTAATGTTGCTAAACATAATATTTTTGCTAAGGTAAGTCGCTCTATTCAGTCAGGCTAGATTCTCCAAAACCTAAGGGAAAAAAATCATCAAGAATCCGTAAAGGGGTAATCGAAGAAATGAGGTTGAAAATCCCTAGCCTAGATCTTTAAAGGAATAGGCCAACAGTCCTCAAATTCTCCTTATTTATCCGATCCGAATTTTCGTCCTACAATCCTAGAATTAATGCCAATCTTAGAGGTGGTATAGAGGTTTTCAAAAATACCCAACCAATTATTAAATATCGCATTTCATTTACAACAGGGTAGGCTATGCAGGCTAACCAACATTTCAATTAGGCCTAGGCTAAATTAATTTCCACTTACCGGAACATTTCATTTGGTACTGGATATTTTGGTACAGTAGGTGGCACATTGACCCAATATGGGTAATGGCTCTGGTTTGATTTATGAAATAATGTATCCCCCATTTTTACTTCCATAGTTCTCGGGAGATCGAATATAACCTCTATACTAGACCTATAACTTAATAAAATATATTGAATAACTATTGATCTATTGTCATAGGGTCGCTTATGAAACTATCACATCAACTTATCCTGTTTAATCCCAAAATACAACTCCAAGCACTTGATTTACATTGTTACAACTTTCACAATCCCAAATTTGAGTCAAAGTTTCAATGACCAAAATCATATTTTAGGAGAAAACAGCGTTTACGAGAAGATATACATTCCTTGGCAACCGGTTACCTATAGCGACGTTTGTAAACAATATGGCGGAGTTATTTATTTCTAATTATTATATATAACTTTTACGAACAGTTTAAGCGACTGTACGATAATAACTAGTGCAATAGTTCAAATATAAATCAAATACCAAGGATAGAATAACTGGGGTCATATATTAATCCGGGATTATCTCTTAATGACGTTAGACGTGTGTCCAAAAATTTGTCGGTGTTGGTCGCGGCCTGTTGGTTGCATTAAAATTAATAGGCCTATCTATAGGTTTGTCAATAAGAAATAGGTTTGGCTTCATTATTGTTTATTATCTTAAACAGTATGGCGGCTGCATACCAATTTCTTTCGAATCCAGCTAAATTACCAAAGCAGTGGTAAGTTGACTATATTTTTTTTTTAACCTAGCCTATAGGCCTAGGCTTAAGACAGAATTCTAGATTTAGCCTGGGCCTTATAGTTATCTTAAAAGAAAAAGCGTATATTATTTTCAAAACTGTGGCCTACAATTGCCATATTCGGACGTCACTGTCTCTTAACAAAATTTGGGTTTGAAAACATTTTTATTTGTTAAAATGGAGTGAGGGGGAGCCTATCAGGAGCCTTTATAGCTTATTAAAGATAGGTTCTTTTAGTTTCTACCCTATCGTACAGAACTCTTACACCAGTGCTCATGTTATTTTTCACCTCTTATCATATTTTCAGGCAGCCACGTCTCCACGAGTGGAATCCATACCACTGTAGTTCACCAGATGTTGCTCATGTAAGTAGACTAGGCTAATGTTATTAAAAACTTTCCATTCGAGTGGGCCCGATCGCAACTCTTTAGGCGATATAGTAATCTAAATATTTTCATTTTGAGAGCCGATAGGGTTAATTATTCCAGCTATCCATATCGCTTTTAACCTGACGTCTGGTTCTGTAATTTATGAAAAAAGAGGATTTTTATTTTAAAAAGTAATGCAGCTCTATATAAGAGAAAATGTATTTAAAAACTTTGACTTTATCCCGTCTGACGACTGAATGCTGCATATGAACATTGGCTCAGGGGAGAGTTTATCTTCGTATTATTATGATGCTCTGTTGAAATGTTATATTATACAAAATGCCTTAATTCTAAGGTGTTTAAAATTCTTTCAACCCAAAGCTGGCTAGCTGGGCAAATAATATAGTATATTTGTTACACTGTATAAAGATATTATTTGCTGAAAAAGTAATTACTATTCGACATTACAGGCAGGGTGGAGGAAGTGGTCTGCTGAACACCCTGATTGGTATGCCAGAAGAGATTCATCTCAACACCCAGACTGGTACAACAGGCGTAGAGACACTGTACGACGGGGTAAGGAACAGATTTCGGATACTTTACATTAAACACAAAAACATAACTGTATTGCGATGACACTGCGCTGAAACCTTTTCAACATGTCTTCAGACAATATGAACTCTTAGAAAAAAGGCCAATAATAGGTTAAAGCTTTAATCGCAAATGCAGTTTGGATTGACACTAGTTTTCGCGATTGTAAGCCTTACGTCATGCACATTATTGGATTTAAGAAATTCCTAACAATTCTTATCAGCCATTGGAGTTAAATTTGACATTTGGCATCTCAGAATAGGCTGTTACTAGCCATCATTTTGGAGGAAAACGAACTAAAATATATGCGAAACAATCTTTTCAGAAGCCGCGTTATAATAACTTTTCCAAATCTTATAAAAGTTTTTACTTTTCAGTTGATTATAAAAATACCAACTGGCACTACGAAAGACCATCCAAACCGACAAGTCGAACGCATGACGATTTCGTACCATATCAACCAGATGTTCAGATGAAGGATGTCCTCAAACCCATTCCCCAAAACAAAAGCTTTCAAGGGGCTAGAACGTATCCAAAACCGTTCCCACAAGAGATACCAACACCGAAGTGGGGCATGCACCACCCCCATCATTATGAAGATCCTGTGAGACTCGATAATTTCCCTCCTATTAGATATAATTAAGTTTGTTTTTAAATTTTGACGTGTTTGTTCTTACTATTATGTTACAAAAGTTCTAGCAAATAAACAGTGTTCCTGAGATAGTGATTTCACTGGTATCTTCAGTAGAATACACAAGGGATGCTGCATCCATTATAATATAAAATACTCTACTAGGCTTTTGATTCTAATACTGGCATAATCTATACAATTGAAAAGTCTAGGTCACTGGTGTCCGGCAATATTGACAAAATTTGTAGACACGAGTTGTACCCCTTTGGCAAAATGTCTTCTTTAGCAAGTTAAGGATTTACGATTATTTATCTGACACGTTCAATTTGTGTTCGAGAGATGTGTTTGTTTTATCTATTGTATTTAAATGTTGGGGTGATTGAGGATTTCACTATTTGTGATTATCAAATAATTATTCCTCCCCATGGAATCTTCAGTACTGGGCAACTAGTTGCACCCATTATTTCTTATTTATTCATTGTTATTGTCCTCGCCCGTTTACAAGTCAAGCTAAACACTTCGCCCCGCCGGTTTTATGATATCTAAAACCCTTCAACTTCTTTAATCCTTTACTAGTGTAACCTGGCCGCGTATTCTCGAAATGATCTTATCGCTAGGATGTCCTAAGGTATAATTCTAACATTGTTTTTATAGGCCCACATTATAATGTGGTCGCATATTGTCGCCACCCCTGTGCGTTCGTCCGTACACAAATGGCTTGTGAACGCAAAAGAGACAACAGTATTTATCTGATTTGAAAGAAATTTGGTGTGATCATTTATATTAATTAGATCTTGGACAGGTTCGAATTTGACGATCTTTCGATGAATTGTTTTTGAGTTTATTGTCCTGAACACAATAGAGACAACAGTTTTCATCGATTTAAATGAAATTTGGTGTTATCATTTATAATGATGAAATCTTAGTCAAGATTGAATTTGACGATTTTTCGATCAACGGGATTTGAGTTATTTCCCTTTACTTAGGAAAAACGCATCAAAATTTGTTGGCCATTTAACGCGATAGAGTTGACAGTTTATGTCAGAATTTTATTAAATAATGTGTGTTTGTTTAAATCAACAATATCTTGCATAAATTAGATTTTTGGTATGATTTGACACAGAGTGGAGTCCATCCTTGTTATACTGAAAATGTATCAGGAAAGTGGGAGTATCTTGCTAGGCAACCACTTGTTAGGATATCCTAGCGCTACGATTGGTTTGTGGCCAGGTCAATTAGATAATTGCTGATAATTAGCTAATGATTCTGGTAACAAAACTTGAGATCAAAGAAACTAAATAACTTTAGAACATTCCACAAGTTATGGTATTCAGTTGCACCTTTTTCTTGCACTAAAGAACAACATCGTAACTGATGCTTGGCAAATCTAAGGAGACTTTCCACCAATTTGTCTTTTTTTCCCTTTCACATTCAGATAGCTAGTGGTTCTTGGATTATTGTGAACATAAACTTTATATCGTAATATGTAATCTGTACGTTTAACGTCCTACTTTTCTGCATCATGTGGGCTAATGAAGACGGGCAACTCTTTAAGGTACAGTAGTTACATAATTGATGAAATTGTATGTTGTTTTTCGCTTAGTAAGACATTAACAAACCTTATAACTAGCATAAATTGAACAGTTGAATTTTTATTGATATTCCCCTTGGATGTTCTTACATAATAGAATGTTTTTGCTGTCAAGGTATAATACGAAGTAATACTTTGCCATTATGAAGATGAACAGTATACAGAGTTCTAGATCATACAACATATTGTTGTCTGCTTCAAGTTGACGTTATATATATATATATATTTCATTACTAAACAAAACCCAATAAAGATAGCAGGGATAGGCATCCCTGGACAATATAGGTAATTGAACTCACAATAGAACACTACATCAATGAATAATTCACACTATTGATTAACTTTATGATTAATTTAATAAACAAGTCAAGTGCGATTATGTAACAAATGTGAAAACAATAATAAGCGAAAAAAATTCTTCTGGCAACTTCTGGAAAACCGATATCCATAGCCAAATCGAGAATTCTGCTGATAAGTAACACCATAAGATTATTTAGCCGCTTCCAGCTAAAGCAGACTAGGTAGTCGTTGTCGTTGTTACAAGGATATGGATCAATTAAGTGGTTTGGTATTGTTGGTTTGGTAGTGGAGACTGGGGCTAGTTGTTACACGGGTAAGTTATAACAAGTCTCATAATTCTACAGTTCTACTGAGTTATATCCTCATAGATGATGGGGTACTTATTAACATATATTTTGAAGAAGGTGGACTTGCGTCAAGATCTCGGGGAAGGGAGGAAAGGATGTGAGTTTTAATTGTTTGTTGGGAAATATTTGTACAATTGTTTAACGTTGTAATCAGTAAACAAACAAAATTGAACTTTCTTCCTTAATTATCGTAAAAAGAGATTGCATTTTAGAAGGATTTTGCGCAAAAGATAGAGTCGTTTAAGCTCTTCCAATGACACAAATCATAAAGTGATGTTAGTTTTTGTAAAATGGTAGAAAGTATAAAAAATTTGTACAACCCGCGGTCTCTCTTAATTAAGACATTTTCAGATCTGGTAAAGTGGAATGACATTGCGGTAAAACTCAACCTTTTGTAGCTTCCCATAAGCTACTTGATACGTTCTTCAAACCCTCTTCACGATCATGGTAGTTCTACTCGGATGGTAAACTTAATAGTAGTCGTTGTAAGTCTCCAGTTTTGACTTATAAATACTCTGCGACAGCGGTGTTGTTTCGTGACATTAGCAGGTTAGGGGACGATGATTTTCGGTGTTGAAATATACACATCATGGTCAAATCGTGATTTGGAGAGTACAGAGGACGCTAAAACTAGGAAATACGTTATCACAATGGCGCTATGTCGTTAATCAACTCGAAGGTATTGTACTTCACTACAAGCGACCTCAAAGTTGTGCGATGCCCCTCCCCCCCCCCCCCCCCTCTCTTATCCACTCCCTATCCCTTCTCACATTCCACGGAAAATGATCGTCAGACTTGGTTCAGTGAACATTCAGTGAACAACTCTCTTCAAATGAATATTGAAAATAATTGAAATTAATTTCCATAAATTTGCATAAAAGACACTCAATAATGTTAATAATTGTTGAAAAGAAAGGTTTGGTCGGGATGAAAGGTGAATTGTTTAGGTGAAAGGATTCAGAAAACAATGTTCTATCTGATGGAAGGGTTCGGTAATCAAGGTTCTGATTGAAAAGACGGTAGGTCAGAAACTAAGGCTCGGTCGGTATAAAGACGGTAGGTCAGTGAAAGCCTCAACAACCAAGGTTCTGTAAGTAGCGAGTAATATATCCAGATGGGCAATAGTGTATGGTGTTTAGTGCAGTAATGAATTGGTCAGTTGTTAGATTTAGGAGTAGCAACGGGCATGACTTAGTCAGTGAAAGGGTTCAGCATCCAAGGTTCTGTATGATGAAAAAGGCAGTCTGCTAGAATCTGCTGTAGTTCCATATGTAAACTGATACTCTAAGCGTATTTTTACAGTTTCAGGAATTCAAAATGGCGATATGTTCAATATTGGTAATGATGTTGACACATTTAACTGGATTTATCTTGAGTTTAGAGTGTGGTAACCAATGGTTCATGATGGTCGACTGTCCAAATTTCTTCCCGGGATATAATACAAGTTTTGTAAACATGACTGTTAATACTATTTACAACTGTGTTCTTCAAGCTGAAAAAGAATCCACTGCCAAGTCATTGGTATTTCACAAAGATTCTCAAACTGGTCAGAAAACTTGCTATTTATATGAAGAGATTGCATCAAGTTGTGAAGGCTCCGTGGAAGTGGATTTTGGAGTAAATAAATATTTATTTAAGGTAATTATTTTATTTTTTAAAATTCAAAATGGTGTAATTAACAAGAATTAAATAAAATTGGAGATGAATTTATGAGATTGTACTTTCAAAAGCAGATTATATAAATTTCGAGTAACAATATAACGCAATCGGGTTTTTTTTTTTAAGTAAGTTGCAAATAATTTTGCTCAAATATATGAAAATTATACACCAAAATCTTATCTTAACGTCGCTATTTTTGTGTTAGGTGTACTAATTTTAGCAAATTAAACGCCAAATTATGGAGTATTGTGCATTCAACTTATTCTGAAAGTAAATGTATAGGAACTCAAAATATCGAGCCAAACACCAAAACTAGATCAAAATGTTTGCTTATTGGTAGGCCGCCAGTAATCATCCCATTTAAAACAAATGTAGGTTGATCAAGTGTAATTAAATAGCATATTTCAGTAAATGTGTAATTTATCACGAGCGTGTTATAATACCTTTACAAACACGAAAGCATTATGATGCAATTGCAATAGATTATATCTATGTTTTGTGCACCGAAAAATATTTTTGTAATTCTGTTATATTAATCAGCCATATAAATGTGAGAACGGAGGAAGTCTAACTGAAGATAAATTAAGTTGTGACTGCATAGCTGGATATTTTGGAATATCTTGTACAGAATTGGCAACAGGTAAGATCAACCAAATATTAAATCAACCACTTTGCCCAGTTGACTTTCAGATTTTTATCATTTATTTCATTTTGCAGGTGCGTTATATAAATTAAAGTTAATCAATAATTCATCAATGCATAGCATATACTACCAAAATGGTTTCCCAGAATATATTTTGTTTCATTGGCAAATGGAAATAAATTTGGACAAAATTTGGACAAATATAGCGGGTATCTTTTGATGATAACGTTTTAAAAGTATAGGCTATCTTGTTCTGCATCTAAAATGCAACAGCGCAAACATTTACTACCACAGTGTATAAGATTAGAGAAAATTATCGTGTCCGATTGTCAGATTGTGATATGACAATACCTCCAATTCACCAAGGATTGTTTTGGACCCGATTATATTTTTGGTCGATCAGGCGGATGTTTTGACAAAATCAGAAACCTGTGAGCACTAGAAAAATTGGTATGCATATCGTTGTCAAGTTTGTGATAGCTTGACATTGTGAAGTTGATCGATGATATCTCCGACAAGTTGAAGTTGGGTTTTTTTTCATCAATTTGACTATACAATATCAATTTGAATCTACTAATATATCTATTTTTCAGATTGTCAGGATTTAAACAACAGAGGGATACGAGATCGTGGTTTATATTCTGTCAATCTTCTACCAAACAAGCCACCAATAAACTTGACTTGTTTTGGGGGAAGAACTGTTGTTATGCACCAACACATAAATAAGGATGTTAACTTCACTTTTAAACGTTCTTGGGCTGAATACCGAGATGGCTTCTATGGTGAAGAAAATTTTTGGTTGGGTCTTGAACTCATGCATATTTTAACTACACAAAAATCTCAAAATAAGTTGGATGTTAGTGCCAGAATTGTCAATCCTGGCGAAGAACAGGAAGAATATTTAAAAACAACTTTCACCGGTTTTAAGGTAGATGGGGAGAATACAGAGTTTTTAATGGGGTATTCTGGAACACGATATGTTGGTAACTATTTGGGTGAACTGTTAAGAACTCTTAACAATTCACGATTTAGTACCTATGACCGTGATAATGACCAAATGGCAATAAATTGTGCGATGAAGTACGGTGGAGGATGGTGGTATAACAACGCTGGTACATTTACAAGGGATTTTACACCAAATGAATTCCAATTCGAATGTGCCCCTGCTAACCCTACAGGTTATTTTTGGAATCAATGTGAAGGTTGTACCAGTGAAGTAAAGGATATATCCACTGGATCAGTTTTTAATGGCACTGTTCGAATGGTTGATTTAGTATTATCTGATTGATAACATAATGAAATATCCCATTTTGAGAAGCAATGGCGGATGAGGCAACAGAGAGGGCCTTCTCATGTTCCCTTAGCAACATAATAATGTTGATAATGATCAGTTATAGATATAAATAATCATCGTACCGTTGCTAAAGAAACATGTGAATAATCATCGTACGGTTGTTAAAGAAACATGTGAATACTCATCGTACGGTTGCTAAAGTAACATGAGGTTTTTCTAGACTTCTGATACCAGTCACATAATAAAATAATCCTTCATTTATGTTTGATAAACATACTTATAAGACAGCAACATCCTGTCTCTCAATGCCGTCGGCAGAGGGTCAGAAGACCATCTATGAATATTTTGAAATAGCGCAACCAATTTGGTCGCGTTGAAATATTCTTCTTCTTTGATGTTTTTTTTCTCCAAACTCTGACAATTTTCTTGTATGTAATGAGGTCATCTCCATACCATCCTATTATACGACTGACTAAACCACTAATTGTTGTCTCTTATCTACGTTAAAATATTTAAGCGAAGAACTATTTAAAAGATGGTCGCCATCTTATATCAGACTTATTGTCATTGAAAATATCAGCCAATCAAAAGACATGAATTTCATTGGCTCAACCAATGACGTAATACAATGTACAATGACAATAATACCCTGTTAAAAAAGGCATCAAACATTGAATAAGCAGCTGTGGGGTTTCCTAAAGGGGGGTGGGGGAGTAATTTTGACATATTTTGGGGTATTGAGGCGCTTTGCAATCAAGCATAAAATTGAATCAGACAAAATTGCAGGGAAAATCTAAGGAACGAAATGAATGGAGGTTTACGTCCTACTTTTCTGCACCATGTTGTCTAATGACGACAGCAGGGTGCATTGAGGGAAATTTTTCCTGGACAGCGGCATTAGCTTGCTCTTTTTCGATTTCCAACTGTCGAAGGATCTTTAACAAGCACAGCCTGTTGCATACGGGGCCTCGGTTTATTGTTCCATCCGAACATTTAGACGCTTTTTCCATGTCATTCCCTCTTACCTGCATCACTGACAGGGGGAAATCGGGTTGAAAAATCCGACGGTGTTATTTTGACCTATGCCGGGGATTGAACCCTGGACCTTCAGGTTAGCGAGCAATTAGTGTCTAACTCATAACTCACTGAGCCATTGCGGCTCCTTATCGGCTAATCAAGACGGGCAACGCCATGCAAGGGACAAATTTTGCCGAGTTGGCCACATCAGCTTGTTTTCTCGATTTCAATCTGTCAAGGGATCTTTAAAGTGACAGCCTATAAAACACACGGGACATCTGTTTATCTTTTAACTTTTATTTCAGACGTCACACATTTCTGCGTCAGACGATTGCTTCCAAACACAAAATTCTGATTTATCATCATTCATTTTATAAAATTACCCCAAAACCTGTATATGTACTTCAAATATCATTTTAACAAACATATCCATCCGAATAAATTGATGAAAAGTTCTGTCACTTCATTAATCTAAAAATGACAATGCTTCACTTTTTGACCACTTTCCAGATAGATCTGGTTTTCGTTATATTTTAAAAATAAACAATCTTTAATAATCTAAATAATGTATAACTTGTATATGAAATTATACAATTCTGCACCAAACAGTAATAATTTCTTAATATAAGAGTAAGTAAAAGTTAAAAAGGGAGCTCATTTTTCAAGTATATTTCCTCTTCACAATAATATATTCAATTTTGAAGTCCATATTAGTCCACTTAATAAATGAATTTCAATTTTCATTGTCAAAACATATTTTTTTGCATTTCTTTCTTACACATAAAGTTAAAGGGATTGTAAACAGATTATCTAAAACGTTTGAGTATATCGGGATATTTATGGCAACAATATTTATTTTCACCATTCCAATTGTCAATCAGACCAAGGGTCTTAGGTGATAAAGCATGTTGGCGATTAGTGACGTCACTTAGAGCACAGATATCTGATTGAAAATTGGAATGGTGCAAATTGATGCTATCAGTATCCCCAAAAATTCAAAAACCTGTTTACAATGCCTTTAAGGGGACATTTCTTCTGTGATTTTCATTACCATAGTGCACTAATTAGAGATTTTAATTGAAATCAGTAAATTTTCTTTCTGGGATTTTACCTTGAACAAGCATTAACATTATATGACATTCTAGTCTCAACTCTATACCTTAACATAACAAAATAAAACCCAAATAATGTTAACAATCAATTAGACATGCCTTAGGTCAAAGAAACATTATTTATTCAAATAAAGAAATGGTAAAAAATTGCGTATGAAATATGACTGTTCACAATCCATTGTTATATTCATTATCAAGAATCAAAGTTAAAATTTTTAAAAAAGCCCATATATAAATAAATGCAAAAGAAGTTGGAGCTTTTGGTCTTGAATTTAAAGGTACATTCTGCTTTTTTCAATCCGTTGCTGTGGTTTGAAGAGTGAAATACTTCAAACTGCATGCCAACATATAGATGGATGATGCCCCTTACTTTGTTGTCAAAAACAACTATAAAAGTCTCAACCGGTTATGTAAGTATTTTGAATTTCCCGGGCTCCATTTTTACTGTACTAGCAGATAGTTGATTATGAGAAATGAATTCTGATTGGACCAAAAATTCTTAATAACCAATCAGCAGCAATTTCACAAACGTACCTCTGAAAGTAGTTCGAAACACTCTGTCCACACAAAAATCACGTTATGTAATTTTCGATACAGCAATTCTAAAATTTGATGTTAAAAATGGTTTCTTTGACGCCAGGTCAAGGTATAACTATACATTATAATAAGCCCTGTTTACATTACATGTTGAAATTAAAGCAGAATACCCCTTTAAATAGCCCAATAATGAATGAAGTAATGAAGTTAAGAGGGAAAAAATAAAAAATGTAAAAGACTAGGAATTTATAATTTCAGACAATGCTCTAGCAGCTAAAGAAGTCTCATCAGTGCAGTGAGACATTGGTATATGCATAGCTCCAGTTTGATGTATTTCATGCATTGATGATGGTACATGGTGCATTTGAACAGGCACCTGATGCATTTGTGCGGGAACATGATGCATCGTGATTGGCACTTGTTGCATGGATACAGTAGGTATGTGACCAGTTGGTATTGTGATAGAACCATGATGGACATGTCCAGGTGGCATAGACACAGGGACATGATTGAGGGAGCCTCCTGGAATGGATACAACTGCTCCATGCTGCATGTGTGACATGGAAGCTAGTGGTATATGTGCTGTATTGTGCTCCATTGGTAATGTTGATTGAGGCAAAGATGTTTGTACTACTTGTACCGAGGAAACATCAGGAATTGATGTAGATGGTACATGTAATGTGGTGTCATTTATTAACGTTAAGTTTTCACCATTTTCATCCATGACCGTCATATTTTGAAGTTCATTAAAATGAATCTGTGCAGGTTGTGTGCTAACAGCTGAACCTACAGCAGCAGGAACATCAGCTTTAGGTTTCTTTTTTCTAGGTTTTTTAGGTAGCTTAGCCTTGCCATCATCAGTTTTTGCCTTTTTGTAGGATTTGTATGGAGTTTTCTTGAACTTCCACTTCAACCTTTTCCGAGAAATAAACAAAAATTCACTGTCAAATTTTTCACCACTTTGTAGAAGTCTAAAGATTTCTTTGGCCAGTTCTGTGGATTTCTTAAGTGCTGCTAGATCATGACATAAATAAGCAGCTGTGTTGGCTTCGCTTATAGCTGTCACACATTCACTTCTGACTTTCTTCAGATCACTTCTTGGAGACAAAGGTTCCTCTAAAGTCGCCGGAACAGTAGCTTCTGCTTCTTCATCATCTCCACTATCTACAGGTTTTACTACATGTCTGGTTTTCCTTGTGCGCCTACTTCTCAGATTTGGTTCCTCTACAGTTGTACTAGTTTCAGGATTTTGTTTTTGAGCCGCAACTGACTCTAGGGTAGGTAAAGCTTCAGAAACTTCTACCTCTACTCCATCAGCATTATCCTGAAAATTTGTTGCATCTTCTTTTTCTTCAACTACAGGAACATCTGGTTGAGGAGGTAAAGGAGGAATAGAAAACTGATCATAGACAATTTTCTGTGGTTCTATGGCTTGTTTATCAATGATTATATATGGATTTAATAAATATGTCTCTGGTAAATGATTGTGGTTGTATTCATTTGGGAAATACATAAATATAGCACAAAAATGTTTACACACCCATCTTCTTAAAAACCAATCGACACACTGACATGATGGCATTGCAAAATTGACATAATGCCACAACTCCCCTTCATTCTGTGTGACTGAACGAACATGGAAGCCACCAGCAGCATCTGTTTTGTACACTGTAAAGTCACCTTTAGCAGCTTCCAGGCCTTTCAAGACATGTTGAATGTACTCATGTGGTCTTTCATGTAAAAATTCTGGAATCTTTTTATCATAAGGTTTAAATTCAGCAGTTAATTTGACATTCTCACGAATATATTCCTGGTAGGTATCAGGCAGAAAGAAGTTCTGGACAATTCCTACTACACCAGAAAATGTTTTGTCCAGATGGTCAGACAAATAGTTCTCTTTGAAGTTTTTAATAGAGGTTACTATTGGGCGGCCATGATTGACACTTACAATTGTGTTGAAATGACCATGTCGGTAACATTTTACCCATCTCACTTGGTGTGGCAGCCATGTTGAAGTAATATACTGTTGAACCTTTGTGTGACGTTGCCAGATTTCATTTGATTTCAATTTATACATGGTATTTTGAAATATTTCATCAGTAGTTGAATTAGCAATGTTTTCAAGCATTGTTAGCAAAGCTTTTTGGTCTGAAGACGGAACTCCATTCTCTGGCTTTTTGAACCAGACCTCCCATGCCTTCTGTCGCAGAGAATCACAAAGATACACTAACGAAGTAGGAAAAACAGCTTCCAAAGCATTAATCTGAGCATCACTGATGTCACACATTAAGTAGGTAGGATTAAAATTTGGGTTCCATGATTTGATAATGTTCAGGGCTTCCTGGACATGACTCATTGTTTCATCTTTAACAATAAATGTTGCAACTGTAGAATAAGAGACATTGGTCTTCACTACCAGAAAGAATATGGGATATGCTGGTTTCATGGTTTTATAATTGGCAAATAATAGACACACTTCACCATATCTTTGGATTAGTCTCTTCTGCCACGCCATTTGCTCAACAAATATCAAACTTTGTCTTTGTCCTTCACCACCACCCCTCTCTATGTTTGGTCTGTAGTAAAAACTGGCTTCTGGATCAACCTCCTTCCACTGATCAATCTGACCTTGCAGTGACTCTTGATCTCTTTCAAACTTCTGTTTCTGTTGGCTCAAAGCAATATTAATGTGATTTCTAATATTCTTATTGGTAGGGAAGTAGCCTTGATTAGATTCACTAGGCTGTGGACCATGCTTACAAACTGTATTTCTAACATACTCTCTCAGATGAACCTTTACATCTCTAACAGTGTCAATTCCTTGAGGAACCAGTTCTTGAATCTTAGCTATGATACTTGGATGTACTGGCTGAGCAAATGCATTAGCCATAGAATCTAATGGATGGTTGTGAGCTTCTGCAACTGGACAAGTGATGTAGTATCTACTCATTGAAAGGGGTAAGCCCTTTTCCATATCAGCACGCAGGCGTTCCAAACATTCTTTCTTTAACTTTTTGACCTGCCATCCTTTCATACCTTCTATATCTGCTGGTAACTTATATTCTGGAAACATCTTGATCTCTCGAATTCTCAGATAAGCTTGACATCCCCTCTTTAATGAAGGTTGGAGCCTTACTCTTTTCTTTGGAGTTTTCTTATTTCCACTTGGATCTGTCACCTACAAAATCAAATAATTCCATGAACATCAATATAGAAAAGGAACATTAGTCAATGCTGTACTTGACAGCAACCAGACCAATGAATTTTATTTTTCTAAATATCGCATCTTTTATCTACAGAAAATCAATTTTGTGTTCTCATTGCAACAAATCAAAAAAACCTTTTCAAATGCCATTGTGTGCATCAACTTTATGTTTGTTCTGGATCATTTCATTACCAACTCAAATAAAGTAAATAGGCAAAATCTCTAACCTCTGGCTCTGGTGGTTTTTCCTTTGGTTTTCTATGGTCTGTACCAAACATACATTCTTTGTAGTAAACAGAGTGCAGACGAAATGGTGTCCCACTAAATGGGATATGAATACCTCCTATTTCACTTGACCAATGTAGTTTCCCTGAAGAAAATATCAGCAATAATGTACTTCTAAACAAAACAGGAATAACTAGACTGTCACCATTGTAGCTTGAAAGTCATGGAGATATTATGAATAAAAAGTATTTTCCCTGGCTGAAGCTATTACATAGCATATGATAAATGTTATTCCCCTATGGTGTCAATGACACATTGTAGCCATCAAATTATTCCCAAATACATGATGCAACCAGAAAAAAAGGCAAAAGGGTATCGCACATTTTGCATTCCCAATCTCACAGATGCACATAATCAGCATTTAATTAATTGCTGGCAAACCAAGAGTTCAAAGGTAGCTGACACTAGAACTGTTGTTTGTACTGGGATTGTTGTACACAACAAAGCAAAAATATCCTGTTAAATGCTATAATTTATCATCATACATGAATTTTACGAATAAAATTGAAATAGAACTGAAATATAATTCAATATATTAAATACCAAAGCTACCTTACCTTCTCCTTTATATCTGGGTTTCTTGGCCAGAGATGGTCCATCTCTTGTATGGCGACTACATGTTGAAAACTTCTGATTTGTCTCAATTCGTAGATCTTCTTCAAACTTCTTAAGGTTTCTCTCACCATCGACATAGCCTAAAATCAAACGTTAAATATAGTTACTTATAAATTGCTATTAATCATCACCTACCATAATGATCAATCAATTCCAGATGAGCTACACTTCTTGGTCTTTGAATTTTTTATATTTGACAGCGATTTATGCATATCAGTTATGAGAATTTCAAAATATACTAAAGAAGTGCAACAACAACATACAGCACGATAGCAAAAACAAACAGCTGTCAAAGTTGCCGGAAGCTACTTTATATGCAGGCTGATCTGGGGCTCGCAAACTAAATCTTGGTCGCTGGACGATATTCACATTTACAAAACATGTCAAATCAGAAGTTTTCGCAATTGAAATTAGATTAAAGAACATCATGAATGAAAAGTCTTATAGAATACCTTCATAATAAAGCCCTTTTCTTTGTAAATTAATAATATTATCCATTTTAAAAATTATTTCTTCAGTCAAGAACCGGACGCTCTCATCTTTTTCATTAAGGTCAAGGGCAGACAATCCATTTTGGAGATTATCATCGAATCAAAGAAGGCAAAATATTTGGTGCTGGACTATAATGTCTGAATTTCCTGTTTATTTATTTCACTTCCGGTTTGTCAAATTTTTGCATTTTTTGACTTGAAAAGGCATAAAATGGGTAAAAAGCAACATCAAAAAGACAAATTGTAAGTATTTAGATGTAGATGCTTGAATATCTTAAAATCAAGGAGTTGGGTTAATAATGGTTTTGCCTTTCTAACATAATCACGCTAAGCATTTTGGGTAAACACTAAACAGTGCCAGTGTAGTAAGAATTAATGTCTAGTCTACTGTTAGGCACTAGTTACATTTACGGCGGTGGAATTTCCCAAGAATCGGTGACCGTTCATTGGTATTTCATGCGTAATTCCTTTAAATAAATGAACGAAGAACACTCAGAATGTCAGATATAAAGACAGACAATTTCATGATTATACTGATTAATAAGCTTTGTTAATTTTAGCCTAAAAAACCTGTAACATTGTCATTGAGTTGAAATAAGCTTATATAGGCCAATACATCCTATGGTATGCTAACTTACTCAACTGCCAAATGAGTTCTAACCGTAACAAAAGTATTCAATAGAAATAAAAAAAGATCTGGTCATGTCTTCAACATTTTCGACAACATTCAATAACTGATAATGGCGCTGTTGGAATATGAAAATATGATATTTTTGGATGCTTTCCAAGAAGATGGTCTAACCATTCTTGCTCAGGGACTTGGGATACAGAGGATTTTTATAAACTTTTTGAAAGTCTGCTCAGATCCTGAAAATTTGGTGTTAGTGCTAAATACATCTTCATCAGATGAAGAATATTTTTTAGAACAATTAGAAACTGCTAGCATCAAACCATTGCCTAAAGTCATCACTAATGAAATTAATGCGAACACACGTCATTCTACTTATTTACAAGGTGGTGTTGTCTTTGTCACGTCAAGAATTCTAGTGGTTGACTTACTAACAGACAGAGTTCCAGTTGATCAAATTTCAGGAATACTTGTGTATAAGGCACATAAAATCATTGAATCCTGCCAAGAAGCCTTTATTTTACGTTTGTATCGTCAGAAGAACAAAACTGGATTTATCAAAGCCTTCTCTGATAGCCCTTATTCGTTCACAACTGGTTTCTGTCATGTTGAAAGAATGATGAAGAACCTGTTTGTAAGGAAATTATTTCTTTGGCCAAGATTTCATGCAAGTGTTGTGGCATGCTTAGAGAAACACCAAGTTGAGGTTGTTGAAATTCATCTTCACATGACTCAGTCTATGACAGCGTGTCAAACTGCGTTACTGGATCTGATTAATGCTTGTATCAAGGAACTGAAAAGATGCACCACTGCTGTAGACACAGAAGAAGTGACTGTTGAAAATGCCCTTGGAAAATCTTTTGACAAAACTATCAGACTTCAGTTAGATCCTGTGTGGAACTCTTTAGGACAAAAAACTCGCCAGCTTGTGTCAGACCTAAAAACTTTACGACTGCTTTTGAAATTCCTCACTCAGTATGACTGTGTTTCATTCTACAGTTTAGTCCATTCCATAAGGTCTAATGAAAAAACATTTGGACAAAACACTGGCTGGTTATTTCTTGATGCTGCAGACAGTTTATTTGTACATGCTAGAGATAGAGTGTATGAAATTGAAGACAAAAAGAAAAAGCTCAAATCTGATGATAAATACAAAGAAAAGGAGCCCGAACCACTTTTAGAAGACTGTCCAAAATGGAAGGCATTAACAGATCTGCTAAAGGAAATTGAAGAAGAAAACAAAGATGCTGATAGATCTGCTGGTCCTACCAATGTTCTTGTTTGTGCAGAAGATGATAGAACATGTAGCCAATTGAAAGAGTATCTGTGTGAAGGTGGTAGATCAATTCTGTTTAGACTGTATAATAAATTCATGGCTTTGAAAGGAGCACAGCAAACAGATCAAGAAAGGTTCAAATTTCCTAAGAAGAAAACTGCATATGCCAAGGAAAAGGCAGAGTCAGATGAGTTAACATTGACTCAAATGATGGTTAATATGGAGAGAGAAAATGATGGTGATTTGAAACCAGACAATGAAGCAGATAGTACACCTCATTCTTCACAAGATGCTTACTATGGAGTCATCTCTGCTCCTGTGACAATTCTACATCCTTTGCATGGCTGCTCTGATCCACATGGCTTGACTCGAGTGCTTCAGGAAATTCAACCAAGATATGTCATCTTGTATGATGCTGACATGCAGCTAGTGAGACAACTGGAAGTTTTCAGAGCTTCCAGACCAGGTGTACCACTAAGAGTTTACTTTCTCATGTATAAAAACTCTGTTGAAGAACAATGCTACCTGACAACTTTAAGAAAGGAAAAAGAAGCTTTTGAACATCTGATTGAACAGAAAGGAAAGATGGTTATTGAAGAACAATGTGATGGAAAACTTGATGAGGATCCTTCTTTAGCCAGAAACCAGGTGGCAGCTAATGAGACAACAAACTCTCGAAAGGGTGGATTAGTAGGAGAACCTAAAAATAGAAAAATTATTGTGGATATGAGAGAATTTAGGTCAGAGCTGCCATCTTTAATTCACAGGCGTGGAATTGAAATTGAACCTGTTACACTTGAAGTGGGTGATTATATTTTGACTCCAGACATTTGTGTAGAGCGCAAAAGTATAAGTGATTTGATTGGATCTTTATCAAATGGTCGTCTATATAATCAATGTGTTGCAATGTGCCGATATTACAAACGTCCAATCCTCTTGATTGAATTTGATGCTAACAAATCTTTCTCTCTTCAAGGAAAATATGCCTTGAGTAATGATGTTTCAATGAAAGACATTAGTTCACAATTAGCCCTGTTAACCATGCATTTTCCAAAGCTTCGTAATTTGTGGTGTCAAAGTCCATATGCCACTGCAGAACTTTTTGATGAGTTGAAAGAAAATCGTGGGGAACCAGACAGTGTGGCAGCAATGTCAGTCAGTGCATCAGAAACCACTGATGATATCTCTGATAGATATAGTCATGGTCCCCAAGACTTTCTGCTCAAAATGCCAGGAGTAAACTCTAAGAATTTCAAATACATTATGAACAAAGTAAAAGATTTAGCAGAATTGGTTAGTCTATCTGAAGAAAAATTAACTGAAATCATGGGAAGCTGTAACCATGCCAATCGTCTTTATGAGTTTTTGCACACAAATGTTGATGAAGCTGAAAAGGCTTCAGCTGAATTAAAGAAAAATGAAAAACCTTTTAAAAAGGGTTATGGTTTTAAGAAAAGAAAATAACTGACCTTGTGTAATAACAATAATTTGATCATACATCATGAAGTGCTATTTTTTCATTTGTCTTTATTAAATAGTTTATATTGAATTGATCAATGATTTTGATTGTAAATAAAGTTTTGTACCGGTATTCTAAATTGGAATCGTGATTATTTTTTGATTTGACGAATTAATGGAGTATAGTCATGTAGTAAGTAAAATACTGATAGAATAAGGTTATACTGCCAAAACATAGAAAATGAATGACCAATCATGTTGTTGTCACTCTTTATTTTCAATTAATTCACAATTAACTTATCTTTGTTGAGGCTGAATAAGTTATTTTATCAGCTAATTTAACAAAAATTTACATGACTATATACATTTATGATTCTGATGCATTTGCAGCTGATTAAAATAAGACTCAAATATTCAGAAGCAATCTAGAAAAAGAAAAGGAAGAAAAGTCATTTGAAATACATCTTCAAATGCACCATCTTTCATCTAAAAGATTGCTGATGCATTTCAAAGGAGGAACATGTGTCCTGTTGTTCAGATGGTTAATATACCTCAGCTCTGTTCTCACAGTTCACATTCGAATTATTTAGCCTGCCTTGGCTAAAATTCCCACACTGCATGACATAGCCCATTGGAGCCCCCAATATAGTGGAAATTGAATAACTCAAGATTAGGGCATATTATGATATATATATATATATATATATATATATATATATAGGCTAAACCACTTCAAGCCTCTGTGGCATTGATGCACCTGCATTGCCTATCTTATATAAGCCCTATCAGATACAGAAGGGTAAGATTTTCATGGATAGTGTCACAATCTTATTTTTTTATTTAAAAAAATTAATGCGTTTAATGCTTTCAAAGAATCAGTTAATTTTATCAATGGTAAATCTCACAAATTAATAATGATTTGAAATATTCCACTATTCTAATAATACTACTATGATGAAAATGTTATATTTTTTGGTTTTCAGATATCTGACACATTCAGAGTGGAAAAATGAGTGGGGTGGTTATAAAGGTAAACAGAATACAGGGGCAAATTCTAGATTTAGACGTCTGCCATTTTCTTGCTGCAGGTAAGTGTTAACTGATATTAGGGTAGGAACTATTATTTTTTAGTTGGGATCTTGCAGGTGTATTTATGATAGTTCATTTCATCGATTTGTAAGGTACAAACCTCCTACCATATAGGATTATTTCATCACTCCTGGTAAATTTTTAAGATAACACAACATTTTGAATTCAGATGATCTGGTCATGAAGTGAAATGTTCTTACTTTGTTGATGATTATACGGATTTTATGATTTTTATTTCAGTATTAGTTTTTTATTTTAATATTTTATAAATCTTGTAATTTTGATTTCAGTTTATCCATGCAGCCTTTTGAAAATCCTCTCTGTACTAAAGAAGGAATTATATTTGATTTGATGTAAGTTTTGAATTTTCAATGCTTTGCTTTTTTCTTTAAAGAAATTTATGATAATCTAAAGATTATCAAGATAAAATTTGAATTTATAATTATATTCGAAAGTATCTTACCTATCATTGTTTGAAAATCTGTTTTTGTGTTTTAGGAATATTGTTCCATTTTTGAAAAAATATGGTGTAAGCCCTGTCACAGGAGAGGTAAGATTTTCACATTCTTTACAGATATCTGAAAGGGGGAAGGAGAGATAGTTGACAGAAGCAGGTTCTCAAGAGTACTGACTATGGTATCAGAAGTTTTCTCAATGTTGTTTTTAACTTTGGTAATCCCCCAGTGGACAATGCTACTGTCTGAGCCAACATTGTATATATGACACAATTGTCAGAAATTGTATTTTGATAAGTTTGAAGTATGGGGTGTATAATAGATTCTATGTTATAAATAATCATTATTATTTCAGAAAATGAGTTTTAAAGAATTGATCAGACTAACATTTCATAAAAATTCTGATGGTAAGTTCTAAATATGCAGCTTTATTTTATAGTTTATAAAGATAAAGCTGTATTTTATAGTTTATAAAGATAAAGCTGTATTTTATAGTTTATAAAGATAAAGCTGTATTTTATAGTTTATAAAGATAAAGCTTTATTTTATAGTTTATAAAGATAAAGCTGTATTTTATAGTTTATAAAGATAAAGCTGTATGGAAGCTTAATGATTTTATTTTATCATTACCACAGCTACACAAACATTTGGGTAAAGATAGAATTACCTTAATTATTTTGAAGAAAAAAAAATTGCCAAGGACTATATCTCAGCCTCTAAAATATTAGAAGCTTCATTCCAGTCCGTAGCTCATTACACCAAATTATATTTCTTTGCCACTATTTTTATCTTAGTTTGCTCATTTAACTATAACAACATATTGCTCAAGTGATATGTATGAATATGTATAGTTAGTAAATAGTAATTGTGTTTCAGATAAATACCACTGTCCTGTTACATTTAAAATATTTAATGCTAATACACATATAGTAGCTATTAAACCAACTGGCAATGTTTACGCTCAAGAGGTCTGTATTATAATTTCATTCATTTATGTTTGTTATTATGCATGGGAATTTCTTTTTGGCAGGCAAGTCCTTGTCCTTTGAAATAGAAAACTACTAAGTAGAAATATTGGTGTCACTTTTAGTCATAGAGAGACTCATTTTTATACATCACAGTTTAAGCAGGGAAATCTTAGTCCTCTATCTAACAAATAAACATCTCTATTCACCTCAGGGAAGTAGAGCTATAATCTCTGTTTGTTAATAGCTTTAGTCTGTTCTGTTATGTTAATTTTGTTATTGTGGTAATTTCAGGCTATAGAAAGATTAAATTTAAAAGTGAAGAATATGAAGGATTTAATAACAGATGAACCATTTACACGTCAAGATATTATCACAATACAGGTAAGATATCAGTTCCATTCCTATATTATCATTATTAATAATCCAATGATGTTCAGTTTTTATTAAAAGTATTTTAAAGAATAAAAAAGTTGTTTATGAATAAGATAAACAACATCATTTTTATTGCTTGATTAAGTTATTTATTAAAGTTAATATTAATGTTATGTTATTAATGTTAATTGTGTTCAGTTATGTTTTATTAGAGATTAGTCTTTACCTAATCCTATATTGTATTTTCTAGGACCCCACACATTTAGATAAATTTAACATAGCTGACTTTTATCATATAAAAAAGAATCTGAAAGTTACAGATGATGGTAAGTAAAAAATAACTTTTATATCAAAATGATTTAGTTACTCAAATGAGATAAAAACCCAAAGCTCCAACCTTTACAAAAGTTTAAGGAGGTGGATTGGTGTACATCATTTTAAGCATGACTTTGCTTGTCTTCATGTACTATGACATATTGAACTGAAAGACAAAATTGTTGTTTTATATTTGAATATAAGATGAAGAAGAAGAAAGAAAAGATCCACGTAATAAATTAAAATCTATTAATAATGAAGCTAAAGATGTATTAGATGAACTAGATAGAGATTATAAACCTTCTAATATATTGGTATGTACTTTTTACTATACCTTGTTTTTAATTTACTTACACTTTTTCTGAAGTAAAAATATTTGCCCTAAAAACAAATGGAAGATATTGTGTATTACACAGTGTGTCTGTGTGATATTAAACACTGCTAAAATACATACTTGATACGATTGACTGTGCCACCCAAAATGAAAGATAATCATTTCCCCCATTGAACACTACTTAATAAAATAAAATCACTTTTTATTTGTAGGAAGTAAGACAAAATAAAGTGAAAATAGACAAGTTTAATGCAGTAAGTTATCAGAATTTTATTTCATTTTTCTTAGAAATGTTCAATATTTGAATCATAGTATTATAGTATTAACATGTTAGATTGATGGAATGCTAAATTTGATGTGTTGATTTGTCTTTACATCATCATGTTAATTTTTACATACATCAAGATATCTCTGAATCTCTGAATTTAGCAGCACCTATTTGGTTACAGTAAATTATTCTGGATTTGCAAAATCATTTGGTTTTTGACATCTCACTTTGCATTTTTGAAAATTGAGCTTTAGAAGTGAAAATATGTTCAATATTGCGGACTAATAAGAGGACAACATGAAGATTAATTTCTCAGAAACATTTGTATCAGGTCAACAATTCAACTGATATTAACTACTATTCTAGTTTATATTGATGTATTGGTTCTGCTTGTAGGCTACCTATTCAACTGGTGCTGTCTCAGCCTCCTTCACATCAACAGCTGTAGATCCTCAAACACAACATGAAGCAGGTAACTTTTTACTTCTATTCTTACATTTGGTTTCATTATATATAATCTGCTGGATTTTTGTTGCTTTACATTGACTGTTGATTTGAATTTTTCAATGAGCTCTAGTATAACTGTGAAAAGAAAGTTAGCAACAGAAGAATGATTAAGAAATATTTACAAGACATCATAAGCTTTCACTTACTTGACTGTAGTCTTTAGGAGACTTGCACCTGAAAACAAATCTTCATCACTCTATCAAGATATGAAATACATTGAGCTGATCTGAACCAACACTATTGAGACATGTGAAATATACTAACTGTTGTTATTTGTAGCTGCTATTGATGAAGATATATTAAGATATGAGAGAGTAAAGAAAAAAGGTTATGTGAGAATAATGAGTAATTTTGGTCCACTAAACTTAGAATTATTCTGTGATATGGTAAGATATGCTGCTAACTGTATTTGCATTGGAAAATCAACTGTTTTCACTACCAGCTGAATTTTCTTTAAGAATCCTTAAGTGAAGATATCATATCTGTAGATCATGTCTAAGGAATGGATAGGGCCATATCTGTCTATCAAATGCATTAAGAACCAAATGACTACCAAATGTATTTTTTTTTAGAAAATAGAAATGTTATTTGATCAGATTCTTTTAATGACTTCACAATTTTGACTTCCAGGTCCCAAAAACATGTGAAAATTTCATGCTATTAGCCTCAAGAGGATATTATAATGATACTATATTTCATAGATCTATTAGAAATTTCATGGTAAGGAACTGTCTATTTATTTAATAATCAGAACCCCAGGCTTTTATTGGCCTGTAAATACATTAATACAACATTTTATATTGAGGCTTTATGAGATGATAAAAAAATCTTTAGATACCTTTAGCGTAAATGAAAAGTGTTAATATTTGTAGCTTAGAATAACATCAAATACTATACAGGCAAACCTAAATGCTATTTGTTGAATTTTCAACTACAATTTTTACATCTTTGTAAATTGATATTTTAGATTCAAGGTGGTGATCCAACAGGTACTGGTAAAGGTGAGTGTAATGAAAATTGAGATACAATACATTTGCAGTGAATTCATTTTTTGTTTGCAAGTTTCTGTGGACTTCTTCTTTCAGCCAATCTGCAGATTTAAATTTCATACAAATAATCAAAAATGTATGAAAATGGTTTTGAAAAATGTAGAATCCACAATAGTTTGTCCCTCCGGTACTTTTCCCAGGAATTGATGAATATTGATGTATTTATAATCTATTTTAGGCGGTGAGTCAGCCTGGGGTGGAACATTTCCTGATGAATTTAAACCTAATTTAACTCATACTGGTAGAGGTGTGTTGAGTATGGCTAACTCTGGTCCTAATACCAATAAATCACAATTGTAAGTGATCTAGTTTTCTAGTTGATTTTTCAAATTTCAACAAGTAAAAAGACAATTTTTTTAGTATGATTCATCAGATTGCTAAGTGATTAATACAACAGATCAGAAAGCATTTATTTAATCCACGATTTAAGGGTTATTTCCCTTTGAGCTGGTATTGCTTTGCTAATAATTTGTTTTACATGTAATTTTTCTTTTTTTCAGTTTTATAACTTACAGATCTGCTAAACATTTAGATGGTAAACATTCAGTTTTTGGAAAGTAAGTACCTATTTCTGTTGTGGTGGCTTTCTTTTACCCCTAAATAATAGTTTAAAATAAATTGCGGCAATGTTTGAAAACATGTGCCTTTCTGTTGGGAGTTAAACCATTTTACTTACTTATTATAAATTTTTATTTCTTCAGATTAGTTGGTGGTCTTGATACATTAGATAAAATGGAATATGTTGAGGTAGAGAAAAAAGATGACCGACCAAAAGTAAGTAGAAAATCAAGCGTATTCAGATCTCATAAGATTTTTGTGGCTATAATAATTTTGAATATGAATTAAAGATTATACTTACTATATAAGTATATAATATACTATAGATA